TGCAGCACTCTAAGGGGAAACAACAGACATGGTCACAGACTGGGGGCAGTGCCTGCGATGGACACTGCAGCATGCAGCACTCTAAGGGGAAATGGCAAACTGCCCTTTTGATTCTCCAGAGCCTTTCCCCTGTGATTCATCCCTGTTTGTTTCCAGGCTCCATACTTCATTGTTATTTTATTCCTATTTGTACTGCTGCAGTGAAAGTCAGTCTCGGGCTACTTGGTGTAAACAAGAAGAGGGCCTGAAAAACCTCAGCCATCCCGTCCTCAGCACTGCAGCCTAATGCCTCCGAACTGCTGCTCCATCCATCTCTGATTATCGGGATTTTAACAGTCAGCAGAGGGACCCCGGCCGGCTGCCGTATTTCCCAGTATAAAGGCTACAAGGCATGTCTGGCCTCTTTGCTGCTCACGCACTTCTAATGTCATTAACAGGTGGATGTCAGAAATAGAATGGACACACACACACACACGCACACACACACAGGCAGAGTGACACAGATAAGCGCAATTGGTTCTGCACACAGACAGACAGATGGACACATGCAGTGTGACGCCCACCCAAGTTGCACAAGTGCACTCCACTGCACACGCGAGCATTGACATGGACACACAGACTGCACTTTCACCAGTGGTACCACACACTCACGCAAACATGCCTGGTATGTGGATGCAGACGTGTGAGTGCACGCCAACCCCAGCACACGATCCTCCCCTCAGCCCCAGCTCTGTCTCTCTCTCTCTATCCCTCCCTCCCCTCCTCCCTCTACAGCCCCTCACCCCTCACCCTCTCACTCTCCTCCATTAAGTTTCAAGTCTATCTTCTCCTCTGGGCCGAACAGACAGCAAACAGGTCAGCAGTTACTCTTCTCACTGTTATTGCCGCTGAATGATCTCGGCAGAGTGCGAAACACGCTCCCCAAAATGATGCTATTCTGAATAAATGCCATGTTTTGGATAATTTATTAATATCTCGCATCTGCAAATGTTATGATTAAAAAGAGCTACCATATCTGAGTATTAAAATAAAGACATTGCGTATTGCACAAAGTAAATGTATATCATAATATTTCAGTATCAATATATTACATTTATTTTTGCTAATATACAAACTGTAAGCATAGATAACTAGATTACATAAACAAAATATCAGTTTTAAGCTACTATATACGCAATACATTACTCATTTTATGCTGTGGCTTTTTCCTGTTTTGTATACAATTGATTATATCTGTAAATTAACAATGACTTTGACATTCACTTAGTATGTTCGCTGCTAACTGCTTATTCCTACAGTTCTTCAAAATTAGATGGAGTGCAAATGGACACATGTGCGGCCGGCAGTCTGTCTATGTCCTCTTCAGTCTTTGATATGTTCTTGTCAAAATATCGGCCGCATGCTGTGTGCATTCAGTGAGGGTCAGTGAGACCCCTGTGCTGTTGTGACTGTACCCAGAAGTATAATTGATCTCTTCCGCACTGGGTGCCAGTTTTGGCACCCTGCCCGATCTGCCATTTTGATAAGGGTGATAATTTGGCTCCCTTGCCTACCACTATTGTTTGTATAGCACTCCAGGGTAATGAGTCTCCATTCTTCTCTCTCCAAGTGCCCTACCTGTTTATGTGGATTTAATACCTCGACACGGCCCCTTTGTCTGCCTTTGACTTAGTGTTAAGCACTCAGGCTGCCAGCTGCTCAATGCCATATTAACAGCTGTGTCACCTACTGAAAGGCTGAGATGCTGTTGTCCACAGCTAGTCGCCGTGCTAAGTCAGCTGCAATGTCACTTCATGATAACGAAAGCTAGACTCACACTGTACTGTTAGGCAGAAACACAAAGGAATCCTGCTATTAATAACGTTCCTCCACGACTCGATTTTGGCCCTCAGAAATATCCACCGGAAAACCTGACTTAACAGAGTTCCATTAGCAAACATGTGCCGTGGAATTTATGTTACTAGCTGTAATTTTTGATGTTTTGATTTCTCTCATTTCGTTCAAGGTTTTCAAGAAAAGCCTGGCCCTGCTCCTTTCTCTGCCTCCCAGGCCTCTACCCCTACATCCCCATCCCGCCTCCTGCTGTTTTTTATTTTGCTTACTTGTTCACCTCCCAATGACACTGCTCCCCTCTGCTCCTCCTACATCCCCATCCCGCCTCCTGCTATTTTAATTTTGCACCTCCAGGTGACACTGCTCCCTTCTGCTCCTCCTCCTCTGCTTTTCTGCACCCTACACTCCTCATCCCACTTCCTGCTGTTTTTATTTTCCTTAGTTCTTCACCTCCCAGTGACACTACTTTCTTCTGCTTCTCCTCTGCTCCCCCTACACCCCCATCCTGCCTCCTGCGATTTTTATTTTCCTTAGTTCTTCACCTCCCGGTGACTCTGTTCCCCTCTGCTCCTCCCTCAATATTTCTCTCACCCAATCTGCCCTCCCTTTCCAATCCTGCCTTTTACCCCAATAACTCTCTCCTTCCACGTTTTTCTCTCGAGCTCTGACTCTACTCTGGCCTTGTTAATATTTTTCCTGTCTCACTCCCTCTGGTTACTCTGACCCTAAGCATTTGTCTTCACTCCTCCTGCTCACATTACTCCTGCCTCCCCTCCTTATACACTAATGACTGTATCCATTGTTTTTGCATGTTTTTGGACATTATCAAGAAATCATTTCAAATCATTTAAAATATTTTTAGATCATTTATTTTCTTGTTCTATTACTAAGCAGCTTTTAGCTTTTTCACAAAGTACACTTATCTATCAACTTCTCCAGTTCCTAATTTTGTTTTATGTATCTCATCAAACCCTCAATCCTTCCTTCTTTCTTCTTCCACCTCAGCCCACCTCTTTCTTGTAGTCATTCCTGTGAAGAAGCCCTACCTTTAACCAGCACCCATCATCCTCGACGACCCGTCTCCCAGTTGAGCTTTGGCTAGCCTTGCCAAAGTCGGCATGTGGTCCAGTTTATTCAGCCAGAAGGACGAATTTGGGAGAGGAGCGGCGGCGGCTGCGGGTGGAGCAGGGGCCGGTGGAGGGAAGGCAGTGGTGCGAGAGATATTCGGAAAACGAAGGGCTCAAGAGTCTGAGCTAAATAAAAGCCAAAGGGGTAAAGTCAAGTTGGTCTTTTTCGTTGCCCTTGTGGGTGTCACACTTTCAATCTTCGGCGTGAGCACGGACTACTGGGTGGAGTTGGCCCCACCCAAGAGGTTCTACGGCAACGAGACTTGTCTTGTGGCTCACTACGGGCTATGGAAGGGCTGCGTGAGGAGACTGTGGTTGGATGACATCAATCCCAACAGAGAGAGCTGCGGGCCTGCTGGACTACCTGGAGGTGACTGCATGTTACTGCCCTCTTACAGCTGGGATGCCAGCCCTCTGGGGAAGGATTATTACGGCCAGTGTGAAGCATGGCAGGAATTTGTTGGCCTCCAGTGACATTGTTAGGCTCTAATCTGCCCTTTAAGTCATTGTTACCATTCTGGCCAAATCATTCATTACATTTCATCTTTAAATCCACTTTTAGGGACAAAATGAAACAGTTACGAGTTTGTTGTCAAAAAGCACCTACAACTGGTCATTTTCACTGGGATATTCTTGCACAGAACACAACAGGTATTACTGAGAAAAATAGATGTAGCTTCATGTAGCTTCCTGTAGCTTGATCTGAGTACAGGCCTTCTTCATATATGAAGGCTTTAGATACAGTTGAATATGTGGCAGTGACCTATTTAATTTTTAATACAAATTAACAGAAGGAAAAGCTGCAGTGTGTGCTAGCACTTTTGCTCGCCTTCAAACAAAGCCACTATCTTCGTGGCTTCAATGTTTACAATGAAGATCAATAAGACACTGGCTTCACATGGAGTCCTGTTATCTACAACAGCAGCTGAAATGTCCTAACACTCAGAAGTAGAGCACTGAGCCGGAAACGAAGGCTGACGCTTCGCTGTACTGTTAGCATGCCAATGTTAAAATAGAAACACTTGACAAGGTATCAGTTGCGCTTGTGTGCTTCTGCAGTTTACTGCATGCTGGGGTGACAGTTAAAATGTGCATGAGCTCTACCTGCCTGGCTCTTGTTTTAACAACCCACTATAAACTCAGCATTCATATGTCAATTGCAAACCCATTAAATAAAATACACAGCACAAACAATCCATCCATGGCTAAAATTAGACATCACTGACACGGTAGTACTATTACTAATTACGCTCCTATTGTTGTTGAAACAGGAGCATTGTTTATGGTTCTATCAATAGTAGCATGAGTATTAATAATAGTAAGAACAACTTAATTACACTCTTGGATAAGTATTGGCAATCCAGTGCTAGTTGTTGTTTTAGTGGTTGTTTTAGTGTTTGTGATTATATATTACAGTCCTTGGCTCAAGTGTGGTAGAGGTCGCTATGAGAGTTGGCTAATGGAAGGACACATTATAGGGGTCTAGCATAGAGGTACAAAATGCTAGTTTATCGTTATGGGAGTTGATGGGGTGGTGAAGATTAGAAATGTTAAAATGAGTCAGTCAGTGAAGGGCTGGAATTTGTTTTTAGGATTTAGTTTTTTTTTAGGATTATTATATCCAAAATATTTAGCATGTTCTGTGTGTGATGGCATGTTTGCTATAAAATGCCATGAAGACTGTAGAAGATGTGTTCAGAAGGTCACTGTTGTTATTTACATGACAATAGATACAGTAGCATTACATTTTGTCATGACTTGAAGGATGAAGGACTTGAGGGCAGGTGTTTAATTGAATTAGCTGAAGAAAAACAGTAAAAAAAAACAGGATCGCAGGGGATCAGAAATGGGAGGACTAGAACAAGGGAAAGCACAGGAAACAGGAAGGTTCCACGTCAATGACTGGACTGGGGAACATAAGACTGGGAAGCATGTCTATATGGGACTAATGAGGGAGCTAATGAGAGGCAGCTTAGCAAATTAGTATTAAATTTAAGTAAAGCAAATTTTATATTTTTTGTCAACTAACAAATCAAAAATAAAGATAAAATTATGATTGATGATATTGAAATAGAACGAGGATATGAAAATTTATTTTTAGGAGTGAAACTTGATCATAAATTATTTTGGAAACCACACATAAAGTAAAAACTAAAATGTCTAAAACTATTGCAATATTATACAAAACTAAAGATATCTTGAATTAGACTTCATTATATACACTGTATTGTTCTCTTGTAGTTTCATCCGTTACTGTGGAGGTATGGGAAAACACATACAAAACCAACACAAATCCAATTTTTATGTTACAGAAAAAAGCTATAAGAATTTAAATAGATCAGATTATTATGAAGCAAGCAATGCACTATTTATTAAATTACATGCTTTGAAATTTTGTGACTGTGAGTTGATTTAAATACTGCACAAAATAACTTACTTCCTAACTGTATTCAGAGATCGTTTGAAATCAGAGGGAGGAAACATGAATTGAGGGAACATGGTGTGTTTAAAAAATAAGGGTAAGGAAATATATAAAAAATATAAAAACAGATGTATATCTGTCAAAGGTGTAAACTTGTGGAATAGAATCACTCTGCAAAATAAAAAAAGGTGGGAAACAATTATAAAACTTAACTTTAGAGTGTGTGAAATAAATGGTGGAGATGCACTTTATTTTCTAGAAAATCCTACATGATCATTACCAGGAGACACTTCAATTCTGATTCATAATGGATGTTGTGGTCGAAAAATGATAAATCAGACAATGTCTCTACAAAAGAGGATAAGCTGTGTGTATTTGACCCCAGTGCCAGGAGGAAACACCAGTATTCTTGACTGTCTCCTGTCAGTTTATCCTGGCAACTTGAAAAAAACATTCCTACACACATTTCCCTAAAAAGTGGGTTATATCTATAGTTTTACAGCTTATTATCCCTGCCACTAAAAGAACAGGAAAACATTCTCTTGGAATATTATTTGAAACTCCATCCATCCATCCATGTATTCATCTTCCAACTGATTTTTACAGGCAGTTTAAATCTTCTCATGATCAAAAAAGATATAGAAATATATATTTTTTCTGTCATTGACGGAATTCTCTTTGTTCCATAAAATTAAAACCTTCAGATCGAGATTCATTATAGCTTTGCTGCTATGGTTTTGCCTTTTGGTGGTTTGCAAATGTATTTTGCATACTTAGGATTTCATTTGTATTCATTTATGGAACTGATACTGTCTTATTTGTAAAATATCGAATTCTGACTAATTGTTGTGAGGTGATTTTAAATGTTTTCTTTTTTACGTATTTGGAATTTCTAAAATCCTCTAGTTGCTTAAGGAAGAGATTAATTAAAGAGTATCATTTCTAAAATGATACTAAAACAGTTTATCTAAAAATAAATAAATGAAATACATTTACAGTTCAAATTAAATGTCACTTTAAATATCCATATCAAATGTTCCAAGATATTTAGCATTTTGCTCTGGTTTATATATGCAGCAATTACAGAACCAGGTTGTGCATGACACTCTTCAAAAAGCTGTATAATGACACCATTTGCTTAACACATTTATGACTGTGTGCTCCGGATTCACGTCACTCGCTGTTACCGTGTGAAAAAAGGCAGTGGCTGTGTGCAGTTGGCCAGCAATGACAAGAGAAATAATCATTTCATCTGATTACAACTAGAGCTTGGTGGGGAATCTGGGAAGATGGTGAAATATAGATCTATAGACAGTACTGTCACTGTTTGCCTAGCAAGGCCAATTGTAACCAAAGCATTGCATGAAATGATAGAATATTCTTGTTAGGCATGTGATTATGGGCTTTAAAACTTGACAATGTTGATAGCAGTTACATTTCCCGGTCACATATATGGCAAGTGGAAGGGCTCAAGTGTCAACAAATAAAACATCCTTATCTAGAACGCTATTAAGGACAGGAACTCGCATGAAGCTATATTAAGCCGGTTTTGTGAGAGCACTTATCCTGTTTTCTGAGGGCCCTCATCCACAGAGTCGAGTTCAGACTGTTGGTTCTTTCTGTAGGGGGAGGGGGGATAGGGGGGGGGGATCACCCATGGGTGTGGAGGTCTGCAACCTGGCGGCTTTTGTGTTTGCCACTATTCAGCTTCGAACCGCGCCAGACATCTCTATGCACTGCGAAAGTCACTTGGAAGTGGACTAATTCACAGTTTTCCATCTAAATATAGAGCGGAGCTGTCAAGATGCAAAGGAATCACCGAAAGCGAGCATGTGGATGTGTGTTACGCATGTGTCCCGAGCTGGGCCCGCCCCAGCTATAGCCAAATAGGCAGCTGCCTTCTGCCCCCAAAATACTTGTGTTGTGTAGAAAATGAAATCATCATCAGAGTTCTTGGTAGGGGGGCTCGCCAAATAAGCTTAGCCTATGGCCCCTGCAAAAGTAGAGGCAGCCCCTCCTGAACTACGTTTCCCCTCTAGATGTGTAAGGCACTGACAACACTGCTGTAATCTGGCTGCAGATCTACCATGGCGGCTCTTGGAGATCATGAACGTTTTCGTTTGTTAAGACCATCCAATAACATATCTGACCCTCTTCTTATTCCAGAATCAAACTGCACATACTTCAGATTCTTCACTTTGGGAGAGAATGCCGTTATTTTTAAGAGGACGACCACGAAAAGTGAGTCATTGCCTGGCTGGTCAGCGTGGCCGGTACGCCCTCCGGTGGATGCTGACCTGTAGCTCTGTGTAACCCTCCTCTTGTACCCAGGTCTGAACATGACGACAGCCGTCCTGGCTCAGATCAGCTTCTTCATGATGGCCATGGGATGCACGTGCATCATTATGGCCCTCAGCAAGGGAGTGCAGTTCTTCGTAAAGTCCGCCTCCTTCTGCTTCATTTTCTCAGGTGAGAACTGAGGCACAGTCCAGCAATTCAGGGGTTCCACTGGGAGTAGGGTGACCACCTAATCCATGTCAGGGGAACGCTAGGATTTCACAAACTACTCTAAAACTGAACGGCTCCTGTGTTTGGCTAAACTGTTAAGTTCTTCTTGTGCTTGTGTACTGGCTTATTTCCTTGATTGAAATGTTTCACATTAACATTAGTGACAAATGCATGATTATAGGAGACTGAACAATCAGTACACAACCAGAAAAGAGAAATATCGGTCTTTTAAGTTGAAATGATTGTTCACAAATCCTGTCCTCGCTCATACTGTCCCACCTGACATGGATTTGCTGGTCACCCTAACTGGGAGAGGTGACATCTAAGTGAATGTTACTTTGCATCATTGACCTTGTTAATCGCCCATTAATCAACAGAAAATAGGCGGGGGGGTGCCATCCCTAGTGTTAGAAAAATTTCAAAAATGCACCTCCCTTGCTAACCTGCCCCCCCCCCCCCCCCCCCCCTCCACCTCCCAGCAGACAGAGTGCTGCATGTGGCGTCAACATCCTTGCACTGAGTGCTAGATAAATCCTCAGGCCTGCTATTTTGTTTTTCGTCGGCACTCCCCCTCCTGCAGCGATTTTAAAACTGCCTGCTTGCACATGATTTGTGTTGGTGAGACGCAGCGCAACACGGGAAGAGAGAGGCGCACGTCGGTGCAAGCAGCTCTGCTTACATTCTGAATGCGCAAAGAGAAAATGGCGCCAAAAGGCGAGGACAGCTCGACCTTCTTTTATATTTTACATTTCAAATTGTTGGGTGTTTTTTTTTTCCTCATGTAATTAGATATTTCAAAGTTAAGGTTGAGATGTGCCGCAGCACTGTCTTTCAGAAGGTGCACATCTTGTGTGTGTGTTGACTGGTTGTGTATAGGCAGGGACGTGTCCCCATTGAGCCATCTCCCCTGTTAAAAAGTAACAAATCGACCTCCTGGAGATATATAATGTTTGACTGATGCTTTCATGATGCTTCTTTTGCTGTTTGTCTTAATTAGGTAGGTATATGGAGTGTAGGCTGTGCTAATCTCTCAGTGCTAATATATGACTGATAGGCATAAGGTCAGCAATTCTCTGCATTCCTCCATCTTATTCCCACATGTCTCTCCATCTCGCTGACAGGACTCCTGCTTTTGGTGGCTGTTATCGTCTTCCACCAGTCGGTTCTCTCCCTTCTGGGCAGTGATCAGTCAATCCCGCTGCATCATGAGCTCTCCTCCTCCGTGGCCTGTGTGGGGTCAGCAGGAGCTATCCTCATTGTGGGTGGTATCCTCTTTGTTATGCTCTTCCTCCCTGGCATACCCTGTAAATAGTGGCCTCCACAAGACATGCGCCACCTAGTGGCTTGGTGGTGTCAGACCTACAAGCATTTACAAGTACAATAAGATTCCTTGTGCTAGAAATGGAAAAACTGACTGATGGCGAGTCACTATGCCCACTTAAACTGACAGAGAACCTGACACAATCAGCACCAAATTCAGTGTGAGTAGGAAAGAGAAAAACTAAGGCTTTACATTAATTTCTTGACACTTTAGTATTTTGCAAAGTGAATAAACAGCTAGACCTGCACAGAAAATGGGACTATGACTTAGCCCATTCCTACAAAAACGATGTCTTACAGAGTCTCCTGGAAATACAAGGAAACACAAACATATGCAAGCATTTTTATTTCCTGTGTTTGACTTTACATGTGTTATCATCTACTATCCCATTTAAGAATGAGGAAAAGCATCCATCCATCCATCCATCCATCCATCATCCATCCATCTTCTCACTGGTTATCTTGGTGTAATCTGTGTAATCAGGGACACAGAGTTTTATTATTATTTTTAGCATTATTGTTATTACGTCTATTATATTTTCTGGGGGTAGATGACATTACAACCGTTACTCTCACATACAGTTTCGTAATGCGACACATCACATTTTAATGAGGCTCTGGCGCTGCCAACATAGTGCGCTTTTCGGCCTTTTGTGTGATTCAGCGATGACTGGCTCTCTCCTGAGAAGCCGTGAAGTATCGCACTTCTTGGGGAACAGAGCTCGCCATCCCTGCCGCGGGGACTTTGTCCTGGAACATTGACAGCAACAGATGCAGATGGTGACAGAGGACGACACTAAGTTGTACGACTTAGCAATTCCCTGGGAACCGCTTTGAGGCCTTAATGGAAAATGAAAATAAACCTTTGACAAAATGTTTGTTGTATAATATCTACTCATGCAAATGCTGTTTATATACTATATATTAAGGTTTTGCATCCACCTGTGTTTTGAAAAATAAACGAAAAATGTATATATATATGCATATATGTTTTTTTTTCTTTTTTTTTGACTCTTGGTACTGAATCACAGAATGACAGAGGGTGTATGACTTTTTATGTGATCTTCTGGGAATGATATTTAAGGGCTTTTATTTTGTCATGTCATATTTAGGATACCTCTTACTATAATAAACCTGTAACGAATGTTTTCAGTGTGTGAGCATGTGTGTGGGTATGTATCTGTCCCTCTGTTTATTCATGGATTATACTGAAAATAAACTTATTCGACAAAATCTGGAGTCAGTCAGTTTCAGTTTTAACTTATTTGGAAAAAAAAGTGACTTAAATCATGTTTTAGTTTCTTTTTTTCCCTGTTCAGTAACACCCTCCAATTTCTGTGTTAAATCTCACCTTCCACGGACTTTTCATGTTCTCTTCCACTTCTGAAATCTCCCCGTCTCCCACTTATCTACCAAACAACCCCCCTCTAAAATTAGCACATTACTCATGAGAGTACATAGTGCTGAAGTAGATGGGAAACATAATCCCTGAATTTAAACTATGCCCCTCACTACTTTGCCTCTTGGCACAAACTTGCCCCCCCCCCACCCCCCCCACCCCCACCTGGCACTGCCCAGGATATACCTGTCCTCTTACCTCCCTACATATTCCTCTTACATATTCTTGCCAAAGTCCACATCTTTCAGCTGGTCAGAAGGACCCCGTCGGTTAGGGATCAGACCAACATTAACCCCAGTGGTCTTCTCGTCCCAAAAAGCTGAAACATGACCCACACTGGTCATACGGCTCTCTGGCCCATCTGTATATATAGATATTTAGAAGTTTACACACAGGCTCTCTGCCTATCTGTGTATATATGTGCAAGGGAGCCGAGAAGGAGTCTGGCTACAGAAACGTCCAAGTTTCCATGGCGAAGCGACACACTGGCATAACACACCGACACGCTGCCTTTCCAAGCTCTTCCTCACATGCCCCCTTTCTGCCGAGCGGCTGCCCCACCGCAGATTTACAGCCCAGCATGAGAGCCACTTTGATAAATGTCCTTAGACATTTAAATATGTGGACATGTGGAACCCAAATATGGAAACATGGCCCCTGGAGAAGGACATTCAGGTAACCGGAGTTATCCATCACAGAGAGCGACCCTCCCCTCTGGGGTTGTGTAAATCGCTGTATTTCATTTCGCTCCTCCTCAGTAATCACGATACAAGCCAACGTCAGCCCCAAGACTGAGAATCCACCCCCACCTTCAAGTACCCCGTTCAGTCCCGTGTTATTTACCCCTGCCCCCCACAGTCCATGAACCTGGATCTTTATCCCTATTGGTTTCAAATTAACCCCCCAGCCCTCTCACATCCTGTAAAGGGACACTTTTTTTTGCGATGAATGCGGTTCCTCACCAGTGCATGGTTATAAGGATACCCACTGATTTGTATTGGGATTAATCACATTATTGCGCTATGTTATGAAACACTCCACTATTAAAATACCCATAAATAACCTGCAAATGATCAACATTAAAAATAGAAGATTACCATGGTAAGGAGCACATCAGCTTGGCCAGCAGAGGGCAGTGATTCTTGTTTCATGTCTTCTCCATGACGGGATGTTTTCCCAAATGGTGGGAGACATTTCCATGGAGTTTTGAAATCCTTTATATTGAACTCATATTTCAACCATTCCTCACACACACACACACACACACACACACACACACACACACACACACACACACACACATCACTGTACAAAGTCCCTGATAGAATATCAGAAGAACTCAGTTGTTTTCACACATATTCAGCAGGGCATTAGATGACCATAAGTCAGACAGTCACGTTACGACTTCTGCTTTTCCTAGAAGGAAATAAGCACTGCTCCAGGTATGTGACTTTGCTTCTTTCTTTTAGTACAAATTTCATGCAGTACAGTCTCTCAGCTCCGCAGTTCATCAAATCATTTAGCTATGTATACTAAACCATACGTTAACGCTATATGCATATTTATGCTGCCTCTGTGCTACACATTGTGACTCCACTCCAACGGTATTAGTTTATTTCCCCAAGACTTTTTCACATCAAACAGCGTCTATTCATGTATATATTTATATAAGGACAAACAGAAGGTCAAATATATAGAGGTATTTGCTAAATCAATGGCAGTCTGAATTAATTATGGTGTTTTTTTCTTAGTAAATTCACTGAATGTTTTGATGTTCATATTATTTATATAGCAAGGAATAATAAACAAAAATATATCCCCACCACATTTAAAACTGCTCTAAAATTATATACGTTTTACCAACGTTATCAATATATTTATACATAGCATATACTTATATTGAATTTATATTGAAATCTTTTAAAATATTTTTCTCCAAAATAATTTTTCCCATATGCATTTATATCTTTTTTGTAGTCCCTGCTTTGCAGTCCCATTAGAAATGGCAGCAGAGTCTGGTGAAACAGTGTATCAGTGAAACAGTGTATCAGTGTGTCAGTGAAACAGTGTGTCAGTGCAGCAGTGTTTCCCTGTAGAAGGATACGCTCATTGGTCATCAAAACTCACGTTTACAGTGATAGCCAAAAGCCCGCAACAATTCCAAATGATAACGATAAAAAAATACTATTACTGTTACTAATAACAAAATGAACAGCAGTACAGATAAATATAAAAGTCATGATATAGACAACACTTGTCAGTCACTAGTTTAGTTTCTCTCAGGTAGGTTATTCTACCAGTCATTATAGTTAATGGAATTTTACCTGTTTTATAAGAAAAATTGACAACTTCTATTAACGTGTTCAAATTCAACCAAATAAAAACAATTTCACCAAAAACATAATAGCAATAACAATAATTATAACAATAGCAATAACAACAATTGCAATCATTCGCTCAATCTCTTGCTCATATACATCGATGATGACTTTATGTCACTGCGCAAGGAATCAGTTTGTATCCTTCAAAAACAAAACAATAAAAAAGTAATTTAAAAAGCATTATTTCAAAAATTAACTTCGCAAACCAAGATTAGCACAACTATTGTAAGAACAACAATAAGATCTTATTAAATCTGAGACCATAAAACCTATTATAAAGCACAAAAATGTGTTCTCTATTAATGGTACCACACTGTAACTGTCAGTAATTAAAGAGTAAAAAAAAAATGGCGTTCCAAGTATAACAGTAATTGTCACATTAATGAACTAATAATTTTCAATTAAGCAATAAACATTGTGGTGATTATGCATCATAACAAAAATGACAATTTACTAATTTCTGCGGAATACGGTATCTAAAAAAGGGGAGTGAACACAAATGAGGTACATATAACTCTCCCCTGGTGTGGCTCTACACGCTGGCTAATACCTACCATCACCCTTGATATGCCTCACAGTCATGTCCCTCCGTACTCCTCGATACGGCTGTCTACACTGGTGTTGTCTTCCTATTCAGGGTGTTTGAATTACCACTCTCCCGCTCTCTCTCTGCTTTGCCTAGTCTATCGAGGGTGCCAACAGCCCTTTCCCTGTCCACTGTTGATGATGACAGAGAAGGAGGGGCCTGGGCAGGAGGGACAGAGGCGGAGGAGGAGTTTGGTAGGGGTACATTGCTACTAGATGAGTTTTGAGCCAGTGCGGGGTTGTTGGCCTTCAGCTTGGACAGCGAGGGCAAGGTGCCGCTCAGCATCGCTCCAGACGCACCCTCCTTGGGGAAGCAGTTGTGCAGTTGGTAGAGGGTGGCTCGATCCACTGTCCCGTACATGGGGGCTGTGCTCAGTCCCCCTAGACCAGCCAGCTTGGGGTCCCGCGACAGGGTGTACATGGAGATGTCTCCACCCAGCGCCGAATGGGTGGTGTGCGAGTGCGGGTTGGGCAGGGTGGCGACTGAGATGGGCGGAGGGGCTGGCTGGGGAGGGAGAAGGCTTGAGGGTGCGATGCTGAAGTTCTTCCCGGCGCCGACTGGCGAGGGGTCACGGGAGCGCGAGGGCTCGGTGGAGCGGGAACTGGACCGGGAGCGATTGCGGAAGCGGTAGCTAGGGAGCCGCAGCACGGCGTGGGTGGTGCTCTTTAGGAGGTCGGTGCGCGAGCGGCAGCGCAGCTCCTTGTTCTTCTCGATGTAGATGTTGACAGCCAGCACCCCAACCATCTCCGCCAGGATGAAGGACAGGCCCCCGAAGTAGAAGGACCAGCCATAGGAGTAGTGCCACTTCTTGTCCTCATCCTTTTTCGGGGAGATGTCACCCAAAGCCGCTGAGATGTACACTATTACCCCTATGATGTTGCTGAGACCTGGAATCGGGGGGGGGGGGATTTGGGGGGTGTGGCAGAGGCCCACCAATAGGATGACAGGAAAAAATCAGAGACGGTTAGTGTCATAAAGCTTAAGAGGACAGACGATGAAGCAGCAGGTGCACAGTTGGGGGGTGGAAGATTTAGGGGGTCACTTGATCACAAATGGAGGAGCCAAGAGGCATGATGGGAATGGTGTGGAAAGAAAACCATGACCAAGCAGCAAGAAATGGAAGTGTCTGTAATCCCTGAGCTTACCTGCAGCCACAAAGAGAATTCCGGCACCCAGAACAATGTTCCTCTTGCTCTTGTAGAAGCGACTGGCAGCGATGCACACTCCTCCCGTTAGCAGGAGAATAGCGCTAAGGATGGGGAAGATGCTGGATGCTCGGACCACGCCTGCGTGAGAAAATAAGGCATAACAAATTCACCCTATTTTTTCATAATTCAACATCCTATTGACCAGCTATTGACCTCCGCCCTTACGTAAAAGGTACTCCGCCCCATCGTGGTCATAGTCAGCGTCTTCAGGGAAATGATTGATCTGTGAGCACACTCCTCTCTTCAGCCCTAGGAAGGAGAGGTGGAGGAGAAGAGAAAATTAACAACAACAGCTAGAACTTATTTGCTATTGGGGTCCCTACGAGACAAACAAGAGCAAACGCCACAAGACATTTTGAGTGAGAGGGAAGATTAGTCTACTCAAGGGTGCATTAACTAACTCATCTATCAGTAAGTAGGAGCGATCGGTTTACAGTGTGGTCTGGCTGTCCGTTTTATCTGAAATGCGTCGTTCTACAGTCCATTTTGTGACACGTGAAGGCATATGGTGACTCAGCATGAGACTGCAAGGTTAAAGATGCCCAGGCCATGCTTGGTCCAGATCAGTCATTCTCAAATATTGATACAAAATATTTACGATGCAATGAATGTACAATGACAAAGTCGCCTGGCCAGCAGTGTTGCTGTCATATGCGCAGATACAGGACTAGGGCTTTGATTCCCTCAATCAGCTGTGTGTGTTTAGCTTTTGCATGTTTGTCTCTGCCCAGGTTTTCCTCCCACAGTCCAAAAATGTGCTGTTAGGTGATCTGTCTTCTCATAATTAACCATTGTGTGTGATCCTATGTCTGAGCGTCTGCTCTGTCAGAGACTGGCACTCTTTCCTGGATGTCCCGTACCTTGTGTCCTGTGAAGCATCGAGGATGCCCTGGGAGAAGCTCCAGACCAGACACAGTCCTGAACTGCATACTGAGTTTCAGATGGACTGCGACGTGTGCAGTCAAAAAACTAAGGATGCTTATGTGGGAAAATGTAAGACTAGGTGCAAAAAACAGTGGTATTTGTCTTTTATTTCAAAGGCACTTATCGAATGTGAGAAGTGCACTTACGGTGTAGCAGGAGCGAGCAGACATGTTCAACAAAGAAACACGGGAGTCAACCGACGACAGGCTGCTAAAACTGCCACAGAAACTTGCATCTGTTGTCTTGCCACATGCGCATCCCTAGAGAAGACAGCGCAGACAGCCCTGTTCCCATTTTATGGGTGTGCTTCAAAATGAGATGCAGCATTTTGTGTGACATGCTGAAGTCTCCATCCGTTCCCTCACTCTCTGTAGCATTGAAAAACCAACCGAAAGTCACCGCGTGCAAAACCACGGCCCTTCAGTTTCCCTCACATACACAGACACCTGGACATGCAAAACGGGAGGATCAGTAAACCCACTGAGCCTTGAAGATTTACTGCTGACAGACAGATGGACTGTGACGAAGAAGGGCGCTGATGGACACATGAGCGACATGATGAGCTGTGACATGCAGCGGGAGGATGAGATGGGCATGTGTTAAGCTCTTGTTTTTTCACAGCTCTCCATAACACAATCTGAAAGAAGAGACAGGAGGCAAGAGGGGTGTCACGTCATCACAGTCCGCTGTGGCTTCACATCATGACTGCTGCCTTCTTGTGGCAACACAACATGTAACACAATCCCTTCATATTCACACAAAGAGCTAAGCTCCCCTAACTTAAGGACACCAGCCTTGCATTTAACACCTTCACCATTCATAAAAACCAAAGCCCCTCATTCAGGTAAAACTGCACCTCATTACAAACTCTCACACTCGCATACATTTGCATTAATAAAGCCACTGTACCATATTTTTCTAAGTGAAAATTTACTGCTAAATAAATCCATATTAATGCAGTCACATTTAAAAAAAAATGTCTGATTAAAAAGGTTCTACATAAAAGGCAATGTTTAGTTTTTCCTGATGCTTTGCAGAAGTAGGAGGATGCCTTCATTACAGATAGACGCCATAAATAATCACCAAAATCAGGTTGATTCTGTCAGCCAATCACACACCATTATGTTCATACACACTGGTCAAATGAAAATGGACCTTAAAATGGATTTTATTGGTTCACAGAAATGACCAGCTTGTTCCATTTAAAACCCCTGGCACAAGAAATTATCAAAATTTACATATTTTGGGGAAAATTCATGGCCCATGAAAGACCTTCTCATACACCCTAAACATCAGGAGCTCCAAACTGAATAAAAAAATAACAACAACAATTATGGTTAAATACCATAATTTACCAGTTAAATACAACCACACTTATCCCAGCAGACTCCAGTGCAAAGAACAGCCACCTCCACCCAAACCTCCAACTGCAATGACTCGACCTCTAAACTGAATCAAGAGTAAAGCTGCAACTGAATGACAAAGAGCACAGCAGTTCCAAAAGCAAGCAAAGGTCACCCCTTACTGAGTGATCTTACCAAAGGCAGCTGTTGAACAAGCTAACCTATATGTTTCTTTACTCACTAACAAATGCCGTATATTTTCCAAGTAACCCTTTCATACTGTGAAAGCCAACTCCAACAAAGACATTACACATGGGTCTGGATCCTGCTATGGCTCTTGATTCCCCTGGCAGCCATCTTGGCTCAATTTCCCTACCAAAGCCCAACTGAGCTCACGCTCCCAGACCAGCCCTCTCCTGGGAAATTAGAAACGACCTCTGACCTTCGAGGCAGCAGATTCTCCAGAGGCCAGAGTGGGTGAGCGCTCCGGGGTCCTTCTTGTCTTTGTTCTGGGACTCATCCTGTGAGGAGTTGGCAGTGCTGTTGCAGATAAAAGCCCGGGCATAGAGCCAGTAGTCAGTGCCGATGGCCACAGTCATCAGGCCAAACGCGGCAAAGGCCCCGACGATGGTGAGCAGGATCTGGATCCCCTTCTCACACCACACCATGCCTGACCAAGCAAGCGACAGCAAGGCAGAGTGAGGCGATGCAGAACCAACAGAAGCTAAATAAAAACACCGCAGAATTATGAATGATAACCATAAACAAGGGAAGTGACCAGTCCGCCTGAGAATCGATGCACAACAATGAAATCCATAATATTAAATAAGTAACACAGTCCTACGAATAGCTCAGACAGGGACCTGATAACACTTCTAACATTGTTGAGCATGGAAAATAATACCAACCTGTAAACCACGATGATGCAAAACAAACAGCAGGTGGCGCAATGTGAAATTACCAAATTGATAATCACGATTAACTACAAACATTTTAAATGACTATTTTTGTGAAATTTTGCAAATCAGGTTCTCTTAAAGTCATTACCTCCAGGTGAATCTCTCCCTTTCCCCTCAATTTTGAATCCGTTTCCTGCTTCGTCAGTGAAGAATGTGCCGTCCCCTCAGCCCAGGCAACATCCATCGACTGGCCTCCCTCTCTGGATCTCGCCTTTATTCCTTCTCGCTCACAAACGCTCAGTCAGGACCTGTGTGAACACGTAGCCCACTCTGCTCGCTTGCGCTCTCTATTCAAATGGATTTTTCCCTGCTAGGATCATAACTGCTTTCCTGAAATGAAACAAAGGATAACAGACGACAAGATTGCAAAATGTTTGATGGCAAAGGTGGCTGATTGTGGGAGACTTCTCCATAATGTCAAATGGCTGTCCTTTCTTATTGTGGTGAGACAAGGGACATATTTTACCATCTAATATCCACTAGAAAAGAAATGCACTGCGCTACAGATATAAAGGAATACAGACAGAGTGCAAGAGAGAGAGAGAGAGAGAGAGAGAGAGAGAGAGAGAAAGAGAGAGAGAATTAGAGAAGGGGAGAGAGTTCTTATTTGTTACTATGGCAACCCTGAATTGCAAAGCCTACATCAGAATAGAGAGACTGATTGAGAACAAAATATGACTGGGACAAATTTTGCTTAGATTACATAGAACAGGGAAGGCTGACAGATCTTGGTGAAGAAAACATTAAAAATGCTTGCTTGCTTTATATGGAATTGCTGAGTATTTTACAAGTATAGGAATTATGATAAAATGTCGAATGAACAGATCTTGTATCATTTTAGGTTAATCTGTTGTTCTTTTTCAGTACTAAGAGAGCCATACTGCATTTTAATCATTTATGCAATTCTCCTCTAGTAAACTAAGAGGAATTATGCACTAAAATACTGTCTTTGATATTAATAATGTATAATGCAATATGGTTTGGGGGGTAGGGGGAATGGGTTACATCAATTTTGCCTGGCAAAAGTACAGAAAAGCAGAGCAGGCTTTAAAAACATGGAAATGACCTCACAGTGGGTTTCATCTGTCTCACTTTTTTCAGAGTCACCCCAGGGTCAGAGAATCACTATGTGTGTCTGGCACTCTGAGAAAAAAAGCATGGAGAAGTGGAATGATGAGCAGTGAGATTAAAAGATCCAGAAGAGCAGCAGCATCTCTCAGTCACCTCGTCACCACTTCATTTGCTCCAGTGTATTTCTACAAAGAAACATCCCTTTATTACTGCGAGAAAGCTTTCATGTTAGCCAACATCTTGGCCTTGGGGCAGGATCGGAAGGACCAGGAGGGCTGCATTCATCCCCCTAAAAAACAGACCCCTGTATTTCAATTATTAACTTGTCCCCCCATGTGATCTGGCATGTTTCCTAGCTTCTCCATCATTCCGTCTTCGTCAAGGTGCCGTTTTTGCAGTTCTTCTTTTGCAGGTTTGGATATCCATTCCATTCATTTCCCATTAACACAACACAGAATTGCGCCGACGAAATAAAATGAACAAAAACAATGCGATGCTCCTTTAGTGCGCACGTCCAGTTAATCCTTCTACGTCTTCAGGTTGGCATGTTATATTTTCCAATAGTTTAAAAAGCATCAGCACCACAGACACTTCAAACGGACGTGCTCGACACATGGCGCTTAGTGAACGCCGCGGCTCGGTTCACTGGATTTTAGACAGATATTGCTGATAGATACACAATCATGTTCCAATAAGCTATTTGTATTCCACACTTTTACTTCACAATACCTAAGGAAAGTAGCAAAAAGCCTAAAAAAAAGTTAATGCTTCGATTCGTACAGTCCACAATCTTTGTGATTATGGATCTGAGACAAAACGACAGTAGTCTGTTTTCCAGTTAACAGCACAACATTGCATACAACACTAATACTACATTTTACCCCTGCTGACGTGTAACGGAAATATGCTACGCTACAGGTTTGCAAACGGACAACACTGAAACGGCGAAGTATGGAAAATGACCGTGAAACTAAAATGAACATGAGGAGGCGTATGTCCCCTTTTTAAACGCATAAGCGATTTTGCATCAAGTACAAGGATGCCCCAGGGGTACAGCTGAGATCTAAAGAGTCTTTATTTATTACCGTAGGCTACTTTTATTGCTCTAAAGATGCATAAAGCAGGTTAACTGCGACAACAAGTGGAAGCGTTGAATAAATGTACGCGTACTGCAATGCATGCACATGGTACACAGCAAAGAGCACATATGCCATAATGCATGGATGGAAACGGACGTATTTGCTTGTACGGCCAGTTTGCTTCAAAATGCAAACAAAACACTTTCGGCGCACGAAAACCTACCGGGATATTTCCGCCACTGTATTGTTCAGATGTATTTGGTATAATCCGCATTAATGAATTGCCTCCGACACTTTGCTGCTACGCACAAGCGATGTAGGCTATATGTTCGTATTTGCATATTATTATACATTTCAGCCTGTGATGATTTAGCAGTAGATAAATTATGTCCAAAGCAGTTATATTTCCCTCCCTACCTAATAACCCACCGGCCTACTTCTGCCTTTATATTAACGTTACGTGAATATATAATTTGTAATGCATATTGTAGGGAGAGTTACCTTGTATATATTTATTTATTGTATAGCGGCCGTATGTACCTGAGAATGTGCAATAAACCAGCGTTCATTCATGCGGTGGATCCATCAGCTCTGTCACAACAACGCGTAAAATAGTATTTTTTTTTTTATGAATTATGATTCTTACCTCCCCAGTTTGTATTGCTGTAGCCTTGATGAAGAGCGGCGGACTTCGGCGGAGGAGAGCAAAAGAGACGGGGGTGGGCAAAAAAGGACGGCAGGATCGAGGCAAGAAATGGGGGAATGAGGCGATATCTGATGGAAAAATCAAGTATGTGGAAAGCATATAGTCATTTAACAAGTAACAGAAAACGGCTAACAGGAAGTAATATGTGAACTATGCATGCACAAATGCACAAATGCATGCGCATCAGCACGGATTTCTCATGTGGCACTATGTGTACTCTCAGTCAAAATGTGTCCCTGTATGCTTTTCTTGTTTGCTTGTCTGTCCGCCTGTCCGTCCCCTTTCCTTAGCACAAAACAAACCCCGACGTAAGCAACTCCGATTGCATCCGATCCTTGAAATAATGGAGACGAATCGAAACAAAATCACCTTGTGATTTGGGCACGTTATGAAATATTTATTAAACGCTCAGTTATATATACAGCTATATTAATTAATTACTGTTTCATCATTGCACCGGGATATTGATACGCCTATTTGTCTTGGTATTTACGTGCCTGTTACTAACCAATTGTTACTATTATCATTGAATTGGAAGATTCAATAAGAAGCAGACTAAAAGATTCTTCCCATTGAACCTAACACATCTCCACTATCTTTTCCTTTCCAATGACATGCGGCTCTATTTTGGCTGTCGGCGTTAACACCTTATTGACCACAGTCTACAGAAAGAGAGATGTGGGGGCAGGGGGCAGCACTGAGAGAGCGTGGGTGGAATGGGACATAATAGGGACAAAAACCTCAAAGGTGATGAGTACGATGAACGAAAATGGAGTCAGCATGTGCGCAGGAATCTGGAGGGATGCCTCCGGAGTTAGTTCATTATCACCCTTTCTCGCACGTGCAAACGCAAATTGGGACTTCGGGGTTAAAAAGAAAAAATCGCAGAGTCCCGGTTATAGTGCTGCTTCTGGAATTTAGCAAAAATAAATAAATAAATAAATAAAATAATCCCCTTTGTTTGAATGCTGCATATGAAAACGAGAACGTTAGAATCGATCGCCGATTAACCAGCCTGTCCAGCATTTTCAAGTCGTATAAAATATCCTCCGCAAGAAGTCCCTTGGAAATTCTGAGCTGACAGGTGCCCTAATCATATGCGTTGGGCTGCGTCAAAGTGAACCGTACTTATGGACTCTAGATTCAGTCTAATTTGCGTAATAAGGGTTTGTATTTTTATAACGGAATAGACTGTACAACCTGAATTTTGAACTGTAACCTTCATAATTTTTATTTCACTTAGTTTCAGCATCTTTCCTTCTGCCCGCTCTCGTGTTCTCTTTCTCTCGTTCTCTCACTCTCTCTCTCTCACACACACATACAGAGAGAGAGAGAGAGAGAGAGAGAGAGAGCGCAACAGCATAAAAGGAAACTGCAGCCAATTTAATATGCATGGAGAAAAGAAGCGTGAAAGACGAACAAGGAGTAAAAGGTCTGTCGCGCCGCAGTAAGGACACAACTGCATCGGCGGACACATTTTACGCCTGTGCGCAGATAAAACATTTATGCCACTGGGTAGCTACACGTAGGCCTAAATGTAAATATTAACCCAGCACGGCTTCTTAATAAATTCTTTTAATTCATATTTTTAATAACGCGGAATTCATAGCAAACAGATCTATACGCTGCATGCGCAAGTTTGGGCTGTGATTGGCAGCACAGATACACGCACCGCATTTAAATTAATTCATCCGCAAGGTACCCTGGGGCTTTGGAAGTGAGCAAAGTTTGTGTCAAGTGCAAGCTTTAGTCCAACACACCACTGCATTGCAGTATGGCGATGAACACGATTAATTCAGCCTCTTTGTGGTGTAGGCTATCTAGGCTACCAAACATATATATTTTAAAAAAAATATCTGCCTCATAGAGGTACTTTCATGCGTTATACAGGTACGTGTAACTGTGAAGACAGTTGACCGTTGTGCAGAACATCCGTCCGTCCATCCATCCATTTTTCAGCTGCTGATCCAGTACCGGGTCACAGGGAATCACCTTGGAGCAGATGTCAGGTCTTTATAGGATGCACATGGACAGATGAGGTAATATTATATTCACTTCTAGAACCTTGTAACTGTTTCCAGGTATTGTTTTTTTTCGCCAGAAGCATTAAAAATAAAACATATCTAGCAGCAGAGTTAAGCTGAGAAATGTCTTTTATCACCCAGATGTTTTTATTTAACAGTCCACTCCAGTCCCCCGTCCAATGGAACTTCCATATCACTGATAACCATAACATTAAGAATCATCGCGTATGCAAGTATTAATGGTCTCTCTGATTGTGCTAGTTATTACAATAAATGCCAAATAAAAGACGGTAACTGTGAAAAATAGGTACAGGTCTCAAAATACGCACAACTCCACTACGTTGTGAACCAAGAGGCAAAGAAGAGGACATGTATATACAGTATATATATATATATAAAGAGCGCCCGAGAGCAAGTTTACAGCGTCAATGATGTGAGTATTTGGCTTGGAGACTGAAGTGGACGACGAAAATTAAAGTTAAACAAAAAAGACTAAATTTTACATAAAATGCTCCGAAAGGAAACAAGAGGCCAACGATTAAAATAGCAGTGACGACGTGTGACAGGTGCACGGGAACCTTGCGTTCATTACCCGCAGCGTATGAAACAGCGCCTCTGGAGTCACAGAATACGGTGGTCACAGAATTTAGCGTTACCGATGAAATCACGGTGCAAACACAGCCCCTTAACGTAGTGCGTAAGTCTTTGCATACTTAAAGTAATTTAAAACGAGATTCACACATTCACTGTCTTCCGTTTCTCTGCCATATTGTTGCCATATTGCCATAACGTACGCCCATCGTTTGCAGCAGCAAAGAGTCCCGATTTTACAATAACAGTAATAAGTATCAGTAGCCTATATACCTTACATTGTAGATTTTTATGATCACCAAAGAAATGTAATATCTCAGTAATATATGTGAATACGCATCTATAAAGCGCTTTATATCTGAGTGCATTAAACCAAAAGCTGCAATATATTTTTCTTGACTATTTTAGTGTCATCCATCATCACAGTGAATCTTTCGAGACAAAATGGCATCTTGATGTGAATCATTTGAGGATTCAAAGTAAGGTATGGGGCACACTGAGAAGGATCCTGTATCATGCACACAGCCTGTATAGGCCTATAGTTATATGGAAATCATATTCTCTTGATTAATATACAAGTCCTACTATTATCACAATGAATATGCCTTCTTTCTGCATGTCTATGATATTCAGGCCCTGGTAGATGACTACATGCTGACGACAATAAATGACTGCAGTCAATGTCACACTGCCTCCACCAGAGGACAGTAGAGATATACGTATCCTTTCAATGGGCACTTGGGTCATTGATTCAGCGAATGAATGAAATGGAAAGCAGCGTTCCTGGCAGTGACCTCTCAGGGCTTGATATAAAGTACTTCTGGGTCCATGAAATTGACATTTCCAAATGAAATTGGACAGCTTGTCTTAAACCATCAGCAAATAGGTCAGATATGCTGTAGCACAATATGAATGAACACAACTTGAAGTCACCTGTGAGGCAGCATGAACCCTGACTTGGAAAACTGTATTCTTAAAAAGAACAATCTGGAGAAAAAACATAGTAGTTAAATAGTGGAGTCTAAATGCACTGGAACTGTATCAGTGAGTCAGGCAGCCTGTTCTGTGCTGGATTGGAAATGACCTTGAGATTCCGCCGCTCTAGACAGATTGGGCTCGATGTTCTCTGCTGACATCATCTGATTTTCAAACGCTGCACGTCCTTCATTAGTGCCTCAGGGCACAACATTGCACACAGATACATCTAAGAGGCCATGTAATGTTTCTGTTCATCTCAGGGCAGTCAGATGATACAGTATGTTTTCAATCTCACTCCATGTAAAGTATACAGTATGTTAGGATTTATTTAATATGTACATCATCATCATCATCATCATCCTTGTAGACAGATCCTCACTATGAACAGTAAATTTATTCATTGGCTTATAAGGATATATAAACTAGTACAATAATTACAATGTAAAATGAATGTTTCTGACTTCCCCTTTACATTCCCATGATATCTTCCTTTCAATAAATTAAGTAAGCAGTTATGGATCTTTCATCATTAAAGGTGTGAATATTATGACAAGAGACAGAGGATTATTGATTAATGTTTTGAGTGGGTGAATGAATGTAAATGTGACACAGTGCTGCCTTTCATTTCTATGAAAATGATGTTTGACACTTGCTACGGTGGCCCAGAAGTGCAAAACAGAACCAGTTAAGGAAGCACTTAAATAACAAAAACAAAAATGTTTCTGAAAATGCAAATAAATAAAGGAATAATGAAATAAAATACAAAACGAAGAGAAAATGTGAAAATATCAATTAAACAATTTTCTTAATCTGTGTGTTTTCTCAGTGTTTTATTCATTTTTAGTATTTTCCTTTATGTTTTTGTGTTTTCTTATGATTTTTAACACTTTCTTAATTTCTCACTGTGTAGTGTTCTGAACTGCAGCCGCACCGCAGTGAAGTGTCACATCACTTGTCAATAAGAAAAGCGTCATTAAAAGGATTTGCCGTCATGGAACATAAACATTATGTTACAATGAAACGCTGTTTGCCAGGCGGAAGAACAATGAAGGTCCTGTATCTCATAATATCATAATGAAAATTTTTTAAATGATATCATTGTCATTAAAGAAAAAATGAAAACAAATGAAATATACACCTGAAAAGGAATAAATTTATAATACGAAATAAAAACACTGCATCTACAGTCAGTTCAAGTGCTGTATGTACAGATTGGTATGCATATTTTTCATTTCTGCCTGTGTATGTGTTCTGCAGAGTGATTCCCATGCGAGGCCGTTCTCTCTACTTTCACTTTTCATCTCTTACTGCAGAGTATTTCTGCAAATTTATTCCTAAATGCTGAAGCCCCCCCCCCCCCCATTCTCCCAGCCTCTCACCAGTAAAGACCCTCTGCTCCTCCCCCCCCCCCCCCCCCCATGGAGTTTATGTATTGCACTGTCCCCCCGTGTCACACCCCAGTCTGTGCCCTGCCCTAACAGGGAGAAGCCCCCATCCGCAGGTGTGTGGGGTACCGGGGCGGAGGCCCTGAGGAGGGTGGCATGGCCAGGGGCAGGGTCTGGGTGGAGCTGACGGGGATGGAGCTGGTGTGGGTGGAGTGTAGGGTGTGAGAATGGGACGAGTAGGCGGGCGGCAGCGGGTAGCCGACAGTAGGAGGACCCACGGAGGCGGCTGTGCTCTGCTGGGCTTTGTTCTTGGGTGGGGGTGCAGGGGGGGTCGTCTGATTGAGCTGAATGGAGATGTCGCTGGAGACCTCGGAAGCGCTGCGCCCCCTCTGCGTGGGAGGCCACGACTCAGGATGCAGGAACTGCCCGCTGTAGTCGCTGCACTCGGACAGGCGGGGGCGATAGAGCGCTGGGTGCGGCCGGCACATCTCCTCCTCCGCGTAGCGCTTCATGAAGAGGTAGACCGACATCACGCCTGCCCCCTGCAGGGTCGGGAGAGAGCAACATGTCAGTGAAGGGCTGGCCAGCTCTGTGGGGCACTGCAGTACATTACCATAATAATGCTGACAGAGAGGAAGTGTGTGTGTGAGTATATTTGTGTCGGGGGGGTTTCTATTTCAAGTAATATTAATCCAGTATGGAGGTCCAAGATCTCCAGGGTAGGTTATTTCCATGAGCAGGAATGTGTATTGCTGTTAAATTAATATGTTATTTTAATTGAAATACGATTTATTGAGTCCAATTCCCAATGTGCTGCCATACATCTCCAAAGCACATTTTATGAGTAAAATTAGTGGTAAATCAAAGGTTATATCAGGCCAGTTTGGGATTACAGTGCGAGCCAGTCAGGCTTTAAAGCAGATTCCGGGGGGAAGGGGTACTGTGCCCAATATGGCCATCTGACCTCTTTCAGCAGGAAGGAGCTGGCGGCGAAGGCGAAGGACCAGCCATAGTGGTAGTGGAAGAATTGCTCAGGCTCCCGGGGCCGGTTCATCACCTCGTCGTTAATGCAGGAGATGTAGAGCACCAGCCCCACCACCAGACTGAGCCCTGCAGGGGGACGGGAGTGACCTCAGTGAGGGTGACGCCAGAAGCCAGCAGTTCAGGAGGACGGGAGTGTCCTCAGGGAGCGTGACCCTGCAAGCCAGCGGCTCGGGGGTACAGCAGTGACCTTGGGGATGGCGACCCCATACGCCAGCGGGTCAGGGGTACAGCAGTGACCTCAGGGAGGGCGACCCCATAAGCAAGCAGCTCAGGGGGATGGGAGTGACCTCGGGGAGGGCAACATCGTAAGCCAGATGCTTGGGGGGGTGGTCGGTAAGGCAGCAGTTCGAGGGGCCAGACGTGACCTCAGGGAGGGCGACCCCATAAGCCAGCGGCTTGGGGGCCGGCAGTGACCTCAGGGATTGTGACCTCGTAAGCCAGCAGCTCAGGGGGAAGGTAGTGACTTCAGGGAGGGAGACCCCGTAACCCAACAGCTTGGGGGACTCTGCAATCGCTGAGCTATGCAACCTGCATCTCTAAACGGTCAAATCTGTGTGTGTCAGATTAGGGTTATGCCCATAGAAATCAATTGAGAGTCCCCATAAAGAATACATGAACTGTGCACGTGTGTGTGTGTGTGTGTGTGTGTGT